TTCAGATATGCCCACATTTTAGGATTTCCTATGATACTTTTCACTGGTGTTTTATATTCTGTATAGTCATTAGGATTCACATGGCAAAGTCTGAGTGGGTTTCAAGTTTGCTCTTCGCTGTTTCCTATTTTAGCAGCTTGTATTTACTGCTATTTATTTTGTTTGTTTACTTTTGTGTTGGTTTGTAGGTTCTCTTATTCCCTTTCTCTTCTTGCCTTTTTACCCCATTTCCTATTATTTCCAGGAAAATATTTGCAAAAAGTTGAGTCTTACAACATATTCTCATAACTAATTGGCTCAGGATTAGATTGATTTTATTTAATAGAAAACACATAGCCTAGAGCCCCAGGTGGTATATCTCTGCATATATTGAGACTCTGTCAGATGCATTTTCCCAGAAGAGCACAAGGCAAATTTATGCTTCTTTAGTAGGATGCTGTAATAGGAGCTGTAAACATGCAGGAATCTGTGGACCCTGCAGACAGATCTGGAGGCTGTGGGTGCCCGTTCTGAAACTGGCAAGGGATGTTTTTAGGGCCCGTGAGGGAGAAACTAGAACCCTAGAAGCTAGGACCCTAGAACTCCCTGAAGGCTCACCAGGAGTTTGAGTGCCCAGTGGCTTGAGGAGAGCCATCTTCTGTATGGAGCCAAGGGTCTGCTGAGACCTTTAAGCACACAAAGGTGAGACCCTTAAGCACACAAAAGCACACAAAGGATCCACGCCTTGATCTGGGGCCTGAAGACAGGCAGAAATTCTTTAACACACAGAGGCTGGGAAGAGCCCTGTGTTGATTGGAGGGGCTGAAGGCTGACTGAGGCTCTTAAGAAAACAGGAACCAAAAAATGGCTGGGGGTTGTACTGGAGCTAATGGCCTGCCACATGGAGAGAGTGGACTGGGGCTCAGGGTCCATTGAACTGAGCTAGTGGACTGACTGAGTCTGAGGGCCCAATTGGATATTAATTGGCCATATCTGCAAGCCACAAAAGAGGCTATCAGGAGTAAATGGACACCTTTACAAAGTCAGGTGTGCCAATAACACCTCTCTGTGACTAAGTATCAGTATCCTGACTAAGCCCCCAGCCCTGCCCAAGCACATGAGATACTGGTCTGTGAAGAAAGGGGAAACCCCCCTTGATCTTCTATTAAAACATAATTCAAGTTGGAATTTTATTTGAACTGCATGATGCGAATCAGTTAACACAGTTTAAAAGATGGTGAGCATGTCTACAAATGTGCACATTGGGGCCTGTTCAGTCTGAGGAAGAGAAGGCTGAGAGGTGATTTGCTAGCTGCCTGCAAGTATGTCAGGGGTGAATATCAAGATCTAGGGGAGCACCTCAAGGGAGAATGAGGACAAATGGGCATAAGCTAAAAAAAGGTAAATACAGGACATAAGAAAAAAAACTTTTTTCTCTGAAAGGATCGCCAGAATCTAGAACACACTCCCAGAAGAGGTGGTATAGTCACCACCCTTGGAGCTGTTTAAGATGAGAATGGAGAATCACCTTGTTGAGCTCATCTAAGCCCAATAACTTCCTGCCCATGGCAGAAGACTGGACTTGATGATCATGCAGGTCCCTTCCAGTCTTTTGATTCTATGATTCTGACTCAATTTGGCCAATTTTAGACCTTTGTTAATAAGTATAATTCAGAATATTATCATTACTTATAATGGAAACACTCCAGATTTATAACTGTGTACATAGGTATTAAACATTTGTTGGGCAAAATTGTAGGAGCCAGAAGCCAGGGCTCCTGGTAGGTGCAGAGATGTGTCCATGTCCCCAGGGCATGTGACTGCTGCTCTGGAATAGAAATTGTTCTCAGTTCTAGGCTGGCCTGTGCTCCTGTTGGGGCAGAACTGTCCTAACTGCTCCATATCCATTTTACTCACTGAATAGTAAATACAAAGTATACTGGCTGAACTTCAAAAGGAGAGCTGGAGAGGCCCCTAGATAATGCTTAAACTTTGGTGTGCATTGTGTGCTGAGAAAATAAGTGCCATACTGGTTTAAACCAACGGTCCATTTAGGCCAGGTTCCTGTCTCTGGCAGTAGCAGGAGTGGATGCTTTAGAGGGAGAACATTGAATTGGATGTATCTAGTTGGATCTATCCTTTATTCATTACTCTCCCTGGAATCTACCATCATTGGTTTAGAGATGTGAAAGGAGACATTTCCAACCATTCTGTTTAGCAGCTATTAATAAGTGTCAACCGTGAATTTCTGTAATTCCTTTCTGAACCCAGCTATGCCATCTGCCTCCACCACCACCTGTGGTGACGAATTTCAAAATGTATTGTACTTACCTAAATAAAACTTAAAATTTAGGATGACCCTAATGTTCACATATATAAATTAGTTGTAATTTTCTATGTATAGAATTTAATTATTGGAGGTGCATCTTAAATTCATCCCCAACAACCACTGCAGTGGGGAAAGCAGGAGCAGGGGGGGCAGGCAGCTGACAGGGTTAAAGTGGCCTGACCCCTGTCCCTTGGCCCTCCACCCTTTGCTCCCTACCCTGTCTCCCTGCCACTCCCTTTCTCACCACTTGGCACCCACCACCGCCACTTACACTTAGTAGTAGCTACAGTTCCAGCCCCACTCCTACCAGGTTGCAGTGGTGGCAGCTCCAGCCCAGCCCTGGAATCAGGCACTGCAACTGCTGCCTAACTAAGTGGGTATTGAAGCCATAGCATTCCCTGTTCTCTAGACTGAAGCCAGAGCTATGGGTAAGTCAGGGGTGGACAAAATACAACCTTCAGGCCAGATCTGGCACACACAGGGACTTTGTCTGGCCTGCAGAGGCTCCCTCAGTCCCACTTGGCCCAGACACCATCTGGCCTTTCATGCATTTCACCACCTCTGGCCATGAAGCAGGCTGAGGCAGTCCAGGTGTGAAGTCACCTTAAATAGGCAGTCCAGGAAGTGGTGACTCCTTTCAGCAGCCACTGCAGCTGCTGCTCGCCCCAGCCTCATGGTACTGGTGGAGACCCAAGTGCACAGATCTGATCCCAGCCCACCCTGTTCCTGCTCTGGACTCACCCTAGTGGAGTGCACCAGCTCTGAATCTGCATGCAGAGCCCCGACCCTGGCTCATCCTGCACCTGCTCCAGACTAATTCATCCATACTGAGCAGCAGCAGCAGTGGCAGCGGATGGGCAGAAGCATGAGGCATAGGTGGTAGGGGGGAAGTGGGGGAAAGAGGGTAGAGGAGGCAGGCCATGGGGTGGGGGGCAGCGTCTTAAGTTGGTGTGATCTTTATGCAGCTCCTCTGTCTTGCTAGGGATGAAAGTGAGATTCACTGGTCTGTAGTTCCCAGGATCCTATATAGGTGACAGCGGCTTATAACTTTGATATCTCATTCCATGTATAAGCATCCTATCTCATTCCCTAGATAAGGGGATAAGAGACCCACCCACACTCCAGTTCTTGCTGGGATACAATTTTGTACCATCCTGGCCAGATGGCTTGGTGGGGTTAGGCTGAGTAACTTTCCTCATAGACTTCCCTTGATGGCTCTATCACATTGAGTTGCAATCTATTATACAAATAGTGGATGATACTTCGGAAAAGTTGTAAACCCAGGGGAAAATTCAGAGATGCAATGGATTGCAACTCCATTGATTATCAGCTCTGTCTCTGATCACAGATATTTAACTGAATCATATCTAAATATCCTGAGTCTGGCATGGCAACCATTTTATTATTATTATTATTATTATTTTCTTGTACTCTCCATCTGTCTGTCTGTATTCAACTCATGTCTTTTGTGAATTATGTAGGTTGTAAATTCTCTGGAGTTCTGTGTTTCTACATTACTTAGTACAATGGAGTCCATAACCATAGGTCTTGGGTAATCCTATACTCATCTTTTCCTCCTCTTGAGATTCATTCATCATCTTCCTTCCATTTTCCCTGAAGTAGTATGAGAATAGTTTTTTGTACTCATTTTCTCTGCATGTGTTTTCTATAGAAACCTATAATCCAGATGCTTAAAATAAACAACAATTTTGCAGAACCAATAATTTTGCAGAACATATTCATGCCTTCTGGCTTCTGTTTATCAGCAATAGTTTGAGTTTTTGATGGATACCATATTTTGCTTCCTTCTTGTGCTTTAATTTTGCCAAATTCTAGAAATTAGTATTTCAGGGCAATACTGAAAAAAATGTATTTGCCTAAATAAAATTTGTCTCCAGACAATTTTAGCTAAGGAAGGCCTACAGTAGCTTTGTGTTCAAAAGCAACACGTTCATTTTTCTGAAGAAAGCTGGCAACATCAGAGATATTTTGTATAGTATAAAAGTACTTGGCACTTACTGAAACACCTGATAGCTTATTATGACAAATCACAATCAAACACAGATGCTGACTCAATTTAGAGCTAATTTCATAGCTTTTTGGTTATGTTAATATAAAGCAGTTACATTAAATAGCTGTCTGATTATGAGAAAATCTGCATAGCAGCACAGTATTTCAGCCAACACACACGTGTACTGAAAATAATTAAGTCAAAACAAATTCCAAAATAATCAGATTTTTCACATTGTCAGGGTTCAAATTTGATTGCAATCTTATAAATAAATAGTGGAATAATTATTTTGTGTGTATGTGTGAAAAAAATCACCTTATGGTTTAAACTTTAATACAATTATGTTTTATTAAAAAATAGGGATCATATCATTTCCCATGTGGGCTGTAAACAGGAAACAATATAAAATGCCAAGAAGAGTGAGACATGAGTGGCAAATGATTTCAATTTTGGCTGCCCAATTTTACTAATAAATAGGATATGATTCAGAACTCACAGTCCCCAAATGTAGGCATTCAGTTTAAAAAATATTGACCTGAGCCTAAACTTGCTGAATGGAGACTGTAGTGGGGTGCTGTAGGGTGCCTGTCACTTAAAGTGGAGAAGTGGACTGAAAGGCAGCTTCCAGGTGGTGTGGGGGCTGGTTGCAGGCTCATCTGGAGAAAGAAGGCCAGGCTGGGGCTAGATAAGCCCAGTGCCTGAGCCGGTCCGGAAGCCCAGTCCCCAGAGCTGGAGGAACGGAGTTCTCTGCAGAAGGACTTCTGAAGGACCTAAGAAGGTAGGTGAAGCAGAAAGACTCTGAAAGCTTGGGAGCCTTTGTTTTATGTTGATAATATCAAGTGAGTTACAAGCCTTAAACCCTGCTGGAGACAGGCTGAAGGCTTATAGAGCCCACCAGCCCAGAGAAGGGGCTGAGTTCAGAGAGAGACAAGGGAATAGTGCCTACCAGCCCACAGAAGAGAGATTAGCAGAGCACAGGGGGCTCTCCAGCCCAAAGGAGGGTTTGAACAAGGGAGCAGAGCCCACCAGCCCAGGGAAGGGGCTGAGAGGGACACAACACGTTCCCTAGCCCAGAGGGATGGCATGAAGGACTCGGGGTCTGAGGACCAAGAGATAGAGAGCAGAGAGGGACCCAGAGGGTCTGAAAATCCTGAGAGGGGCTACAGGAAGCAAGCAGATGAAGTGATAACACCTGTGAACATAGGTGACTTGTAGGGGTGCATGGGGGTTGTGGTTTGAACCCCTGTGGTTCAAACCTGCTACAGAGACCATAATATTTCTGTGACTTTCTTGCACAGTACCTGTGATGGGGCTTGTGATCCCTGCAATGGTTCTTTTGGTTTAAAAACAATGTTAGAGATTGTGTTTCATGGAACAAAAGTGACTGATCACAAGAAACAGTGATAGGCTGGCAGGTCAAAATTAGAATCCAACAACCTTGAGTATGATAGGGTACAGCAGAGAAAATCAAAAGTCTAAAGATGATGACTGTCTAATGAGCCATCTGTCTTGTTGCCTGGTAGAGTCCACAGATGCCTATTGTGTTAAACAGCAGAGCAGGACACCTCTTCTCATAGTTCCTGATGACATTCAAATCACATTATACTGCTGAAGTAGGTCCGAAATGGTGATATTAGGTCAGAAACGGTCAGAAGGTAGGTAAAAATGGTGGTGGTATTTACAGTGAGAAACACGCACATGATTCTTCTCATCAGGTTATTCTGAGCTCAAGTCAGTTACAAGACATTGCATTGGTAGAGCAATGAAACTAGTCTGAACAGACTATGCGTGCTTAATAATTTGTCTTTCACAGACACGACTTTCTAGTTATTTGTGATAATTTCCTATCCTTAATATAGGGGATGTTGAAAGTCTCTGATAGAACTGAAAAGTTCACACCTTATGCAGCATTGCTTATTTTGGATACGTATTGGTTGAATGTAGAGTGATCTTGTGTTCGCTGGCTGCTGAGGTTATGTTAATTTTGATGCTGATTTTTGTTCTGAATGTAGCTCTTGTTGAAGTCCTTCCTATCCCGGTCATTAATAGGCCACTTGTCTAAGTAGGAGCTGGCTGTTCTTACTTTACATCATCTGAGAAATCCTCCACACCTGAAGGAGAGTGGCAGATATTCTTTGTATTTTAAGAGTATTAGAGGTGCTAGACCATGGTAGTGAATCTAGAATGCTGAAAAGTTTTGTCTTTTCATTATTGACATCTCCACCTTCTTTCTGAAAAAAAGAGAACATTTTTTTTTTTCAGGTCCTCTCTTCCTCAATTGAGTGGGAAAGATTTTTCTTTCTTTTTTTTTTAAAGGAAATGTAGAAACAAGAACAGCCATGTGTTTTTGAGCATATGATCCAGCTGCTGGTGAGGAGTCTTTGATGGGAATTGGGTCAGAACATCTGAGCATTAGACCTTCTAGAAGTCCTTGTCATCTCTGCAGCATTGCTGAAGTATTAATTCCTGTTGCATCTTTATGTTTTGAAATGCTGTACAAAGTGAAAAAGAGAACTTCAACTTCTCATTTTCCCATAGCTTGGAAATCAATCCTGCTCTTCTGTTTCGTTTTCACTAAGCCATACCTTGCCTCATGTTTGCTGAAGCAAAAGGAGTTTACACTTTTTAACAGAAAAAATAAATCTCCTTATATCCTTTGCCCTTATTCTTTTTCCTCTTCTTTCGTTCTCTCTCTGTCTCCCCTTCTCTTTCTCTCCTCATCCCTTGTCAACACAACCATCTATGAGGAGCTTCTATTTCTCAATTAACAAGCTCATATGTTTTCTTACTAATCTTATTTTGTATTTTATTTGTTTGTACAAAAAAATGTTAAATTAGCTTTCCAATCTATGTGTAATTACAAAAACCTACCTTGGATACCATTAGAAAATCAATCTAGAATATTTAACAGAAGTTTCTATTTTAAAGGAAGAAAAACCTGTGGAGTAGGTAGAATTGTTCAGACTGATTGAACTTTTAAAGTGCCTCCACTGTATTACAGTAATGCAGTGAAAAATCTCTAACTAGGGAATACTGACAGTGCTGTGTTTTGTTATGTGCTGCATACTATAGCAACCAAATGATGTGCTCACAGAGAGATACAGCCAGAATAGACCATCAGAACCCAAATGTGTCTCAAGGTAATAATATTAAATACAAGTTCTCTTGTTTGTCTCAGAAAAATACAGCCGCAAATCGTTTGAATCTTTC